TGCCTTAATCCTCCCTTTAGGATGGTCCCACAGCAAGATCCAATTACCCTCATTCCATTCCCTCTATTCCAATCTACCCTATTCCTCAGTAAAAATCAAGACTTGGTGGTCTTCCAAAAGGCTAAAAGCCTGTTGAATTACCTGGAGCAGCCACAGAAAAGGCACACTTCTGAGATCCCACTAAGTGGCAGGATTTCAGAGAAGGGATCTGGAGCATGCCAACCTATCTGATCTGGTGGGACGAGCAGATATTCTTAGGGAGAGGCAGTCTCACAATAACCAGGTCCTGTGCTGGTAATAACCAGCATCTTGAATTATGTTGGAAAGAACCTGGGAATCAGGGCAGCTCACACAATAAAAATGTAATTGGGGCAAACCTAGGAACATCCGATACTATGCACACTGCTGCATTTTATTTTTTTTTTAATTTGATTTATATGCCGCCCTTCTCCGGAGACTCAGGGCGGCTTACAGTGCGTTAAGCAATAGCCTTCATACTTTTGTATATTTATACAAAGTCAGCTTATTGCCCCCACAAACTGGGTCCTCATTTAACCTACCTTAGAAAGGATGGAAGGCTGAGTCAACCTTGAGCCTTGGAGAGATTCGAACCAGCAGTAAATTGCAGGCAGCTGTGTTAATAACAGGGTGCTTTAAACCACTGTAGTACCAAGGCTCTTTTTTTTTTTTTTGAACCAGCTGTTTTTTTTTGAACCAGCTGTAACTTCCAAGTGATTTTGAAGGTCAGCCCCAGGTAGAATGCATTGCAGTACAGTTAGTCTTCAGTTTATGGCCATATTGGGACCAAAACCTACATCATTAAGCAATGCAGTGGAGTGTAATCATCACATGACCATACCCGTTTTATGGTATGGCCATTAAACGAATCCAGCTGTAAAAAATGACATACCTCTTATTTTTATTTATTTTTGGGGGGAAGTTAGCCCCAATTTTCCTACATAAGCTACGGGCCCTTTTAGAACAAGGCATAAGGTGATTGAAAGAAGATAATTGTAGATTTGCTGTATTAGAATCACAAGATAGCAATAAATAATTGTAACTGAAATTCACTATAAAGGCAAGAAAATGTTCTAGATCTTACAAAAGGAAAAGTATTTCATATGTAAGTCAACCCATATGCTTATAGGTAATCCTGTAATCAATACTTAACAGCTTAGTTTATTATTATTTATGACACAGATGCATTGCAGCTCCTAAAAATGCTTGGGTGGAGTCTTCAGAGAACTCCTCCCAAAAGTTGGAACCAAACCAAACCATAAAGTTATAGAGAGAAAGGAAATGATTAAAGACTACAGAGAATCCTTATCAACTGATTGTCATAAAGTAGAACATAATATAGTGAAAATTCAGACAAATGTTAAATAGGGAGTAAACAGTTTGAGTATTTATTGATGTCAGTAATTCTATCAATGAAACAAAATTCCAAGTATTTATATTCATAAATTTATGTTTAAGGATATTATTACTTTAAAAACAACATGTAAATATTGACATTAAGGCTACAAGTGGTTTAACAATAATTTAACATCTGCTAGGGTCATCTATATGATATATAAATTAGTATACATTGATGAAGAATTGGGACAGGTTAACCATGAGAAGACAAGACTGTGAAAGTGTATGTTTTAAATACCTTGAATTATGTCATTCAGAAGATCAAGAGCTTTGTAATTAGTAATTCAATGGTAGAAGCAGTTATCCAAAAAAGTAGGAATCTCCCTTCACTGAAAGTGTTCAAGCAAGGATAAAACTGCCATCTGTCAGGGATGCTTTAATTTAGATTCCTGTACTGAGTAAAGGATTAGACCCAATGGCCTAAAGATCTCTTTCCAGTTCTCTTCTATCATCTGTATTCATCTATGCATCTCATTTGTATTCAAGTTTGAATATAAAATTGTAAAAGTTTATAGACTGTTTCCTACCTTGGTCAAACTACAGTATAAGTGAAGGACAGTCTGCCAGTTTTCTATGGCAAGAGAAATTAATGGGTAGGAGAGAACTAATAAAAAAAAAGTCTGCTAAACCAAGCCATATTAGTAAACCTCTGCTTATAAACATAGCTTCCTGCAGGGGAACAAGAAGCAGACTTGCGTAAATAAAGACTTAATATCAAAGTAAGCTAATAAATAACCCTCAATGATAGGAAAGGACAACTTTTCACCAGGGACCACAATTCAAACAACACAATGCATGTTTTGCACAAGGCCGAATTCCCAGCTAAAGGATCAAACAGATATGAAAGATCTCTGCTTGAGATCATGAAGAATCTAAGTTCTGACCTACATACTGGTACCATGATCATAGACAGTTTCATACATTTACACAATAGTCACATTTACGTTCCCTTGTAACCCACCAACCTACTTCCAGAATTACAAGGAAAAGTAGCCTGCACATACAAGTGATAAACGTATAGCGAGAACAATAATGTGCATTTAAATCTTTCCCCTAAAACTTTAATGTGTCTAGCTCCTCTATTAGTCTTCAGATTGATGCTAAAGTTTGCAAGGATAAGCGTGCATTGATCAATTTTCCAGAGATTTGGAACCTGCATGTGTGTTTAATTGAACATACTTAAAACTACCTGCAGACCTTACTGTTTACTTTAAGACCATTAAAGGTATCTGGTTACCTAGGGTAACTAGGAACATGCATTATATGTGAACCCTCACCCTAAGGATGAAGTTAATTCTCACTAATTCTGGCTGAATGCCCACAGCAGAATAAGGATAAGTGTGTAGTAGATATGAAGCTACACACTGAATATTCACACTAACTTCAAGTTTTCATGCTCATTTATTAAGAACATTAGACTTAAATTCCCATAGTAAATCTTACACAATATACAATTATAAATTTTAACTTACTCTGGCCCTTCCATTTCTTCCTCTTCCTCTGAAGATGAATCCGTTTCTTCCAAATCCCGAGCCATTCCAACTGGCATATCCTGTGTATGTTTTCACACAGTCCAGAAACAATGAACCCTTAATAGTTTCACTGTAGAATCAGAAAATCTAACCAGTACTATATTCTATGAAGAAAATGAAAATTCAATTATCAGAGTAAATTGGAGATATACAATAATCAAGCTTCTTAGTACAAAGCCACATACAGTTTCCAGACATTTTATTTTAATTTCTAATTCAACCAGGGGCTATCACTGTATTAGATGGATGACTTTGAGCCAGTCACTCTCTCTCTGCCCAACCCACCTCATAGGTTTGTTGTTGTGGGGAAAATAGGAGGATGAAGGTATCTTGGATATATTCACTACCTTAAGCTATTTGTAAAAACAATACAGGGTAAATTTTTAAAAAGATACTCATTTATTTGAGTTCTAGAGCCACCTATCTCAACAAGTGATTCTGAGTGGCACACATCATAAAAACATAAAACAATTATATAAAATCGCTGAGTAAAACTATTGCCATAATTGTTAATTCAGCCAAGAAAAGGGGCCCTTAAAACACTCAGATCAGGGCATATAGCCAGGCCTTACGAAGGGCCAACAAGGTTAGGATGATCCTAATCTCTGGAAAGGGGAATGCTCCAGTCCAGAGGGCAAGGGTTACAGCACGTCTCCTAATCCCTGCCAGATGATATTCCTTGGCTGGCAGGGCCGTAACATCCCCAATTCAATTATTTTAATAATTAGACCAGAAATGGCGTAAGGAAGGAGTGAAGAGCAATTGAAGTTCCTTTCCGCAATCATTCCATTCAGGTGAAAGGAAATCAAAATGGGAGAAGCAGCAGGAAAAGAAAAGAAAGAAAAGATGGAGAAAAGATTCCACCTTCTCTTCCCATCCACTTTCTTGCTGCACAAGGTTATAACAGTCTAGCTTTATATTTGGCACTGAATCGCATCTTAAGCTTGCCATCCTCTTAACAAATCTGAGTCATATATATAATCCAGCCGTAACGTAACAAAATATACCCATATCAGTGGAAAGTATACACACGTGACCCACTGCATGAAATTGGATTGTGTAAACCTAAAGCATACAGTATCAGAAACAGTTACTGCTAAGGAATCTTAAAAACCTTTGCTGGGTTCGGTCAATCAATCTTCTATGCCATAAAATAAACAGATCCCTCCATACCTCAAAACTCCCCAGTATCAAAACGATTTTCAACCACCCTGTGTTAAAACCCTGCCTGCCCTTTCTGTGACTCCCGGGGATGCCGTTTCTGAGGGTTCAACAGCCATTTGCAATACTTTTTTCCGTTCAAGCACCGGTGTCGATTCGCAATCAAAACTTTTCTTTGCAGAATTTTGGGCAAAGAAACGAAAGTAAGGCAGGGAGAGGGCTGGGCCCGCGGCAGAAGATGGCACTGCCTCTTAGCGGGAAGAGGCGGCGATCTTTGCCGGAGGGCTCTCGCTGGTTTCGTGGAAATCTCACTCCTGGTCTTGGGGGGGGGGGAGAAATTATGCCGGAAAGCTCCGGAACCTGGAAAGCATTGCCTGAATTCCTTGAACTTTCCACGGTCGGTCCGCGAATTTCATGCCAGCTCCCTCCATCCCGTTGGATGCCGGTCATCTCTCTCTACCGTGAATGAAACGCTACCTTCCACCTGCGAGGCTCAACTTCTCATCCAAGAAAGTTCTATGCATGCCGCAAAGGAGGCGCACTGTTCCCAAACTCCGCTCACGGCCATTACCTGCTGCTTCATCCTCTTTGGGGCCCGGCAAGTCGCGATTCCTCTAACTCAGCGCTTCCCCTGTTACTACAACAACCAACAGGCAACCGTCTCCCCCTTTACAGGAGACACATTTGCGCAAGCGCCAATTCTCGGCTCCCGCCGGTGCCCTTCTCCACACGCATGCGCGCGTTTCCGGTCCTCTTCAGTCGCCTCTTCTAAAACGGCGTCATCAGAATTCTCTTTTTAAAAAAAGGGAAGCGAAAATGATGCTCGGAGTTCTTCCGCCCACATCTTCGAATTCTACGTCACAATGCCTCAGAAGGGTTCGGCGCATTTGATAGGTGCCGCTGCCTTCCCATCCATGTGACGGTTTAGAGAAGGTCGTGGAGACCAACCAGGAAAAGGCGACGTCTGACCGTCGACCAATCGCTACGCAAACTAAGGAAGGGGCGGGGCTCGTGCGCCTTAAGTTGGAGGTGAGCAGCGAATCTGGTCCGCCTGCAAATCAGGTGGGGGGGGGGGGGAGGGAAGATCTGAAGGGCGGGGGGGGGGGGTGGAAGGGGGAATAACCAAGGGGGGCGACGTGCATGGCAGGAATTGGGGTGCAGGGCAAGATGGATTGCAGTGTAGGAATCGAAGGGAGCAGGAAGACATTCGGAGAGCATTGCTAAAATTTTATGCAGGTGTCATCACTTCGTTCCATTTTGCAACCCTTCGTAAATAAAACGGGAACCAGCCAGGCCCACCATTTAACATGCCATCGAAAATTACAAGGGAGAGAAGAAATAATTTATTCAAGGTTTAAAACGTGATAAGGAGCCATAATTGATAGTTTCCTGACTAAACGGTCAGGTCAGAATAGTGCTGCTCCCTTCCTCTCCCTTCTGAAAGCGTTTAACAGGAGAAAAATGCAAAGCAAGCATCTTTGGGTTGTTTTTCTTTTGACTTATTGGATGCAAAGAGGTTGATTTCTGGTCCAAGGGGCAGGCAGCTTTCTTCTGGATTCATTTCACTAGTCGGATAGATGGGAGCAGAACGCACACCTTCAGCTCTGGCGGTGGTTATATACACTGCTCAAAAAAATAAAAGGAACACAAGCAGAAGACATCCGAGATCTGAATGAATGAAATAGCCTTATTAAATACTTTGTTCGTTACATACAGTAGTTTTGTGTTCCCTTTAGTTGTTTGAGCAGTGTATAAACTACTGTATGTAACGAACAAAGTATTTAATAAAGCTATTTCATTCGTTCAGATCTCGGATGTCTTCTGCTTGTGTTCCCTTTATTTTTTATATAAGGGAAAGTAGAAAGGGAACAGTGATTCATGCTACCTGTCCTTGTTGAGTTATTTGGACAGAACAGTTAAATGTGTTAATAGAAGAATTATTCTTTTTGTTTTGAGCAACTGACTGCCTTTGCCATATAAAGATTATGGGAGTTAATTTAATGCAAGATTATGGCTTCAATTTAACCCTGATCAACTAGTTTTTAACCATCTGGTGTTTTTTAAATCCAATAGAATCCTAGAAATACTAGCCAATAAGGGTGCTGCTTGGAAATTCTAGAAGTTTTAGCTTTATTATATCTGGAAAGACTAGAAGGAAGGAAGCCTGTTTTATGGATTTACCAGGAATTTGCATTTTTCTGAACTTGATTTGTTTGAAAGATGCTACATTTGCAACAGATTTTCCTTCTTCCTTTGGGCTTCAATCACACTGAACAATACTATTGCAACTTTTAAAACTAGTTTTCCATTTTAGTTTCATATCTGGAATATGGGAAGGCTCCCTTCTTGTCATTTGCAGGCCAGCAAAATGGCCTCATCTAATTGTTCCACAAAACAATATACAACTTAAGAGGAGTTGCTGCAAAACAAGAGTGGCATAGCAAGCATGATTACAAAGTCTAAAGCAGGAGAACTGTTTTAACCTCTTGATTCTTTATTTGTTCATATGACAGATTGTGTCTTGCTGCTTCTAAGATGAGCCGGTTCTTGAATGTACTTCGTAGTTGGCTAGTTATGGTGTCCATAATTGCTATAGGGAACACAGTGCAAAGCTTCAGAGACCACAGCTTCCTTTCTGAGAAACTGTATACAGGCAAGCCAGGCCTTGGTAAGATTTATAAAGTGTCATTTTTGGAATCTAAAAATGGGATCTGTATTTTGCCTGTACTGCAAAGAAATATTTATTCAGATCTTAAAATGCTGCAATTTTGAAATGTCTTTTTGCCTTAAATATTGTTTATTCTCATTTTATCCTGAAGTTTATTGCATCGGTTTAGTTTGTTTAGTGCCCACGTAGAGCAGTCAGGCTATAACATGGTTCAGGTACAGTGTAATTTATTTTCCATATCAGGCATTTCTCTACTGAGCTCCATTTCAGGACTGAAAACCCTTGATCCTTAGAAAAATTTTCAAGGCCTTTATATATTGTAGGCTGCTAAGTATACTGCTAAGTTCTGTTTGGAAACATATACATAAATAAATTGCTCTAATACCTATTTTTTCTGTTCAGTAAATGGTCTCCAAGCTCGAACCTTTGGCATTTGGACCTTGTTGTCTTCTGTGATCCGCTGCTATTGTGCCATTGATATCCGCAACAAGACGTAAGTAAAATGAATACTAAAAATAAATAGTAAAAGGAACAATTCATTACCAACCCTCTTTAATAAACTCCTTTCCCTTGCAGTCATAGTGCAGTTGATCATCCAGAACTTTTTTTCAACTTTTTTATTCCTTTTGGGAATATTATTGTCTCAAAAGGCTTGTTACTTATGAAGAGTAAAATAGGCATAAAGAAGGAAGTGCTTAGTAGTCTACTTATGTAAAAATAATATTAGTCCGTAGTTTCTGTCTAGTTAGACCTCTGAAATCAAAAAGTTAAAGTTCCAGTATCTAATCCAATAAGGAATAATCTCCCTCTTCTGTTAGTATTACTCTTCTACTGACAGTTCTATACCACATATGGCTTACATTTTTATATTTTCCATCACTTGTAGTGTTTTCTGAAAGGATGCACATCTAGAGTGTTGTATGTTTCTTTATTATTTAGTTGGGTATAGCAATAGGAAAGCAATAAGTTTGGCACTCTGTATTAAGGCACAAACTTTGTTCCTAGAAGTCAAGAGAAACAAGATGTAATAGAGCAACACACTGCAATTTTATCTGCCAAAATGTCAGGTTTTAAAATCTATTCTGCTTTGACCCAAGCAATTCTAAACAATTAGAAGTTTGTAGTAGTTTTCAATTCAAGCTATGCTGAACCTATTAATCTGTCTAGAGACTGGCGCCTGTGGTGCTTATGGATGGTAGGAACACTAATTTAACATCGTAGAAGTAACCTTTGAGCAACAGAGGGTACTGTACTCTCTCTAGTTTCCAAGAGATGCAGACACCGATGCCTGACTAAAGATGCAAAGGTACAGCATACTCATTTGATTTCAGATTCTGAACTTCCTGACTCTGATCTCTTTGTGTCATCTCTATACCACATAATAATCCTTTCTTTGTGAACTCTCTGACAGCCTCTATAACATCACACTTTTGACCTTCTTCATTGCCCTGGGCCACTTCCTCTCTGAGGTGTTTATTTATGGCACAGCAGCTGCAACGATTGGTGTCCTGGCACCCTTAATGGTGGCAAGTAAGTACTTACTGAGCTGCTTATCATTTTCTGTTCCTGGAATTGTGTTTATTTCCAGGATGTTTTTTCCACTCTTCCTCCATTAAGTTTTTCAGCAGGATTTTCACTTTCAAACAGCCCTGTGAGGCTACTTAGGTAGAACGATAATTATTTCTTTAAAGTCATACTGGAAACTGAACCTGGAGTTTTCCACAGCAATTAGCCTTTTTTTTAAAGATATGAGATTTTTAAATATTTCTGTTCTCTGTTCTTGCTCAATTTCCATCTTTCAGGTTTCTCCATCCTGGGGATGCTGATTGGGCTACAGTACCTGGAGGTAGAAACCACATCACATAACAAGAAGCGGAATTGACATTACAGCACCTGTCTTCCAATCTGCCCTCCAGTCATCTTCCAGTGTCTACCATATTATCTTCCTGATCTTCTTTTTCGAGCCTGTACCATACAGGGCAGTCAGAATACTCTTAGATTTCCCTATTGGTTATTTTAGTTCCCATTTGATTTTGAAATGAGCAGATAATGGCAGAAAAATAGTTTTGAGCAGTTCCTCCAAACTGGATATAGGGAGCAGTATCTTAAAGCATCGTGAGATGTAGTAGAAAAGCCAAGTGAAGTTATGCCAGGTGAAGGTTATAGATTTCCTCTCTTGACATTCTGATGGCAAATGATAGAAAAAGCAGTGTTGTCCAAAATTTGCTGAAAGAGGGGGCGTGTAATGTCTCCATGGCACTCGGCATAGTTGTCCATAAGTATGGCATAAATGAAAGGGAACTGTGAAAACTTGTGAGGAAGAAGTATCTCATGTCTGAGCTAAATCCAAAGTACCTTATAAATTCTTCTTTTTGAAGATTAAAGACTAAAGAGCGAAGCTTGATCCTCTTTTGCCTTTAAGAGGCTACTTGTTTAGGTAACTGCTTTCTTCCATCTTCCAGGAACCTGTTTTCTTTTCTCTGAAAATAGCACAATTCATTTAACTGCTGTTCTTTTCTGAACATATATGAGAACTGGAATAGTCTAGGCAAGGCAAGTGCATAGCAAGCCAATATTCCTGCCTGAGCAGGGGATTAAACTAGAAGACCTCCAAGGTCCCTTCCAACTCTCTTATTCTGTTATTTATTTCAAAACAAAGCTGTCAACCCTTGTAAAAAAGGGGCTGCCAAGGCCATAGAACAAATAAGTAACTTTCTGCTTCTGTAAAAAGAGGCAAAAATTGTGAATTTTTTAATGTAATGACTGCTGCTATTGTGGTTATGCAAAGTATCTGCTTCCAAAATGGAATGGACATTAGTAAGGAAATGGATTCTCCTGTTCCTATATCTTGCCACATAGTCACCAAATTTTACTGTTATCTGTTTTTATTCTAATTTTTAAATTGATTATTTTAATGGTTTTTATATATTACTTATTATGAATATGTATGCTACCCAGAGTAATTGTGTGAGATGGATAGCTATACAGAGACAGACAGACAGACAGACAGACAGACAGATAGATAGATTGATAGATATAGAAATATGCTTTGGAGATCAGATTATCTGGAACAGATTTTGGAAATGCACAAAGAACTCAGAAGGGATTAATGGAATCTTGCACTGCATGGTCAAAAATATCATCTCAGATGGCTGTTGCCCACAATTAGTATTTATCTACCTCTCTCTACCAGAGTGACATATGCTAACACTGTCAATTGTACATAATTTGGCTGTAGACTGTCATCTGAATTGGCAGTCATTGAAGCCAATTATAACAGCTGTCAGTTTGCTAGCAAGACCAGTCAAAGTTTCAAACATCTAAAGGAGAGATTTCTCCTATGTTTATCTACTTGTGCATTATCAAGTCACAGTAAACCTAAAAAGATACATCATATATCCACAAAAGAGAGGGCCTTTCCTGTGATGGCATCTTATCTGCAGTGCACTGTGAATCTACAGTTGACATTAACATGGTATTCTTAACATGTTTTATTTCTCCAGCCACCTTAACTTGAAATCATTTTTTGTAACTGGTTAAATGTGCCTCTCAATTATATTAATGTTTTTGCTTTAATATTGTATTACATATGCTTTCTATGCTGACTTTTGTGCAAAGTGCTTTATACCAGTGGCCCCCAACCTTTTGGGCACTAGGGAGCGGTTCTGTGCAGAGAGGCTTTTCCGTGGACCGGAAGGGGCGTGGTTTCGCATGCTGCCTGCATCCCACAGATGGGGCTTCATTTGTTTGCACAGACTGGTTTCTGGCATGCTGCAGACCAGTGCCGGTCCACAGACTGGGGGCTGGGGACCCCTGCTTTATAAATTTTTAAATAAATATACCTCCCTTATAAATTATTTTGGGCTGGGATGCTCAAAGGCAAGTGTGTCAACCTCAGCCATGTCAAAAGTTCTGAAGATGATCACAGAAGCAGCTTAACCCAGTCTTCCCTAACCTAGTAACCAAATAGTTGGGACTACAACACCCATCAGCCCCAGTTAATATGAGCAAGATAGTGGATTGGAGGGACTTTAGCTGAAACTCTGAACATTCCAGGAAGCTATCTGAACATTGGCTAAGTAGATCTTCCTACATTCTAAATTTCTTTCTAGTAACCAAGTCCTGTGAGGAACCATTAGGAAATCAGTATACTTAGTCTGCAGAAAAAAACTGAGGGGAGAAGTTGTTGTATAGAGGAGGGAGTGAACTTGTCCCAGAGGGCAGAACCAGAATCAGTGGGTTGAAATTGCAGGAAAGAAAATTCAGATTAGGTATTGGACAGGAAGTTCCTATATACTCTGTAATAAGTTGCCTCATGAAATGGAATGTTCACTGGAGATCTGATGGCTGACATCAAGTAGATAATCTTGATTTTTCAATATCTCCCAATTCTATGAAAAACTTGTCAGCTTTCCCAGAGGATTGTTCATTTTCATTTTGTTGTAACTTAAATTGTACTCACAGGATAGATAAGGATAAGGAATGAAAACACGTTGACTTTTTAATGCATGCTGATAGGTGAAATAAGGACTTTATGGTGTCTAGTATTTATTCCAGATGAATTACCTTACAGAACATGTTAAGCAAATGAAATTAACATATGGAAAAATGTAAATTAACGTATGGAAAAATGTAAATTAACCCTTTAACTATTCAACTTACAATGTACTAGCCTTGGTTCATACAGCATAATAGACTAAAAAGTGTCTGGCTGCTTTATGGTTCAGAATGTTGTGCTAATTTAGCCGAGGTGATTGGTACTTGAAAAAACTGACAACATATGAATTATTTTAAATTGTTTTATTTTTTAAATAATCATTTTCCTCAGAATTTTTGTGACTGCACAGCTCTGTAAACTCAAGTCAAAAATAAACTAAAACATCAATTACATCACTTGAATTGTCATTCTTTTTTTAAAAAAAATGTAACAATGTTAATTACTGCAGTGGACACTGGGGATCTGAGAAAAAATTCCATTCCCAGATATAGCTATTAACAAAAACTATACGTCAAATAACACATTTTAAGTTGATAGTTGTTTTTAATCTACCCCTGGAATTTTCTCTGGCAATCCTAAATGCATATGTAATTGGAAGGATTTATATCAAGCATGCAGCCATTTCATACAGGAATGTCGGGATTGATCATACAAAATATAACACAAGAAAGTACTCTTCTTGTGAAACTTTCTGATTTTTTTTTTTACATTTTTAGCATAACAAGGATGAAAATACAATAATTTTCTTTTTCCTTCTTTCCTGGCATCTGCCTTCAAATACTTTATGTATTGGGTAATACTTATTTTATGAACCAATTGCTCTTCAATTGGAAGTTAATAATTTCTCTGCTAGCAATAATACTGCTTCTACTAAAATATTAGTGAGCCTTCTTTAAACTAAGGTTATTACATTCCCCAGAGAGTTTATCAGAGGCTTGTTATATTAGCTCACAATCTCATGGTTAGCAAAACCTGGATCCTGTTTCTTGTACCTTTTATTCCACTTCTCCTGAATATCTATCTATCCATACAAAACAACCAGATTCCACACTGCATCATCACCCTCTTTGAATAGCAATTCCTATACTGATTCAAGGTGGCCTTGAATCCTCCTGGAACAAGCTTCTCTCCAGCAGTCCAAGACAGCTTGACTGCTAGTAATTCTTCCTGTTTCTCTTCAGTCAGTTTCTTCCTACAAGCTTCTTAGCCATTTCAGCCCTCCCTCACCCACTTCCATGGGAAACAACACTATTGGAAAAACCCTTATCATGTCTTATATTGAAGTATACTTTATATCTAGGTAGCCAAAAGAAAACTCTTGAAAAACACTGCACTACATTGAAGCTAGTGTGCCAACCAAGTGCATATATCTGGCAGGACATTAAAATTCAGTGGTACCCAAACTACTACCATGGCATTAAAATTATACAATTACATATTTGTGTCACATTTATTGCAAGAAGATAAGTTACAGCATTTGCATGATCACATCATGAACATGTCATCATATGTATCCCCCGATGGATGCCCATTAATATTTCTAAAGCTCCAAGTCCAATATGTTCAACTCATTGCTGAGTTCACACATCCAAGTTAAGTCCCAATGTGTTTTGATTGGCGTGTTTGGCTTAGTGTAAACTAATTCAGCATTCTGTCAGAATTGTTCTATCAAAATTATGAAAGTAATCTCTGGTTAGTTTTCACTGTAACTATTCTCAGTAAACCCACCTAGGACTGTTAATGTTTAGGGAGTAATAAAAAGTCAAGAGTAAATAATCACTTTCTGTGGTACAATTAATATACAAGTTATCTGAAGAAAAAAATTGAGACAAATTCAACTATGAAATATACAGTAATTGGCAATAACACAATGTTACTCAATCTATAACTTAGAATCATATCACTGTTCACTTGGGACTCTGTACATTCCAGTGTTTTATTTTCAAATGTTTTCTGCTTTTCCATATAAAAGTTAAAAGGAATCACAAAGAATATTACTATAAAAGTCACTTTTGGTCAGTATTATCTACTACCAAGCCAGTAATCTTATGAACCCAAGCAAATTGTTTGCTTGCTTGGAAAATAAGCATTTATTACATTCATTACATTAAAACAGATGGGTTCATTTGGCATAATATTGTCATGCAATAGTAACTGCTCAGAAAAATTGGCAACTGGAAAACTTTGAAAACAAGGAAATAGAGGCAACGTACATAAAGTAGGGAAAGAGACAGCCCTGAACAATGATTTCTTATTGTCAATAAATGAGTAAGCCCAATCCTAACTCCATTAAGAATGTCTATTTACAATTACACTAAGGAAAACTAACAGAATAGAAATAATGGAATTAAAATCAATAAAATTTTCTATTAGAAAATTAATAGGTAACACTTGCCAACTTGTCAACAACTAGAAGACAAGCTCTGAAGACAGCAATCTGCAAATCTCAAAGGCAAAATCTCATTATTTCTTTTATTTCATTTGTATCCTTTATACCAGGGGTCTGCAACCTTAAACACTCAAAGAGCCATTTGGACCGGTTTCCCACAGAAAACACAACACTAGGAGCCACAAAATCTGGGTGGGCATGGCCAACTCAACTTCACTCCTACCCAGTCACATGACATCCCCACAGCCATGCCTACCCAGGTTTTGTGGCTCCAGGTGTTTTCTGTGGGAAATGGGTCTCTCTCTCTCCCTTCCTCTTGTTTTTCTCTTTTTCCTCTCCCTCCCTCTCTCCCTCCCTCTTTCTTTTCTTTCTCTCCGTTTCTCTCTCATTTCCCACTTTTCCCTCTCATTCTCTCCCTCCAGCTCTCATTTGTGTCCCTCACCCTCTCTCCCCCCTTCTCTCTCTCTCATTTGTATCTCTTTTTCCTCTCTCTCATTTTCTCATTTCTCTTTCCCCCCCCTTTCTCTCTCTCTCTCCCTTTCATGTGTCTGTTCCCTCTTGAAACATTTTCAAAAACAAGTGAGGGTTGGGTTTGTTTGTTTGTTTTGCTGATGTTCTTTCTTCTTGAGTGCTTTTTACCATATGATTTAAATAGAGAGTCATTTCAGGTTCCCAGATAAATGAAGCTCTTTCGTCTCCCTGCTGTAGCTCCCTGTCAGCTGGCTGGCCCACCCCTGACCCTCCAAGTCATTCCTTGCGTGGCCTGAGAAGGTAAGGGCGAGGTGGGAATGGAGACTCGCTCCATATTCCAGAGTGGGAGGAAGTGCCCCTGTACTTGCCTCTCATCTCGCAGGCGCTTCTTCTGGCGTTTCTTGGTGCTGCGCACACCTCGGTCGTTCGTGGAGACGTGCGACTTTCTCTCCAACCCGAGACACTGACCTGGCCCAGCTGCAGCCAATGCTCTGCATCATAATGGGTTCCAGGAGGAGGAGGGGATGCTGTCTCCCTCATTGTGAAGTGTGCTAAATTTAAGTGTGCTGCGCAAGGTGCTGCGAGAGCAGCGAACAGGCCATGGAGGCGACGAGAGCAAGTTGCAAGTCTAGAGCACTGGCCCGGCCTGGCTGCGGTTAATGCAGTTGCTCTCGCAGAGCCCTGCATAGCACACTTAAATTTTACCCTCATAACAATCCTACAAAGTAAATTAGGCCAACAAAAATAAATCATCAGCTGAAATGCCAACTGGCAATCTGGAATTTCCCAATCCAAAGTAAACACTATTGAATTGATTTCTTCAGTCAGCAAATGCTTATGAATTTTATTTATTATTAGTCTTCTATGCTGCCTATCTCACCAAGGCAACTCTAGGGGGCTTATGCTTACGAATAAGAACAATTGCAAAGCATTCTGTAAAACTGAAAACTGCTAAATAATAAATTATTGTGCATTTATTCTAGAGCAAGAAAACACTATTTGAGGATAGCCTCTCATGTCACTTGACTGAAGAGTCCCCACAGTAATGCCATTTTATGGCTTCAAGTGTTTTCCAAGCTAAATGCTACACTTCCTAGCCCAAAGAGAAGAACTCTCACTCCGCTAAAGTCTCTATGCACTAGCTATTATAGATAAATAATGTTCAGCAGAACCTCTGAACAAATAAAATGAACTATGAACCCTCTTCAGATCACTGGAAGTTACTCTTCTTCTTTTGATTAGAAATGAAACACCTTAAGCTAGGCATTCTTTATAAATTGTTCAGTCTTTGGAATGAGAATAGCTGTTAGATCAACTCAGTCAGCCAATTCAAAGTTACAAAAATTTTCCCACAAAATTATGCAGCATTTTTTCTCACTTGGTCCAGTGGTGAATTTTAATTAAAACTAAGATGTTGCACTGTGTGGTCCTCCATGTTTTTTAATCTGATTTGTGGAATTTCCCCCCCTTGCAATAAAATAGAATTGTCATGGCATCCTGTTTAGAGTAGATTGGAAAAACTTTATTGTACTCTTTTACAGGCTTTTTTTTTTAATTTCCTTAAAGCATCTCTTGTTCCACACAACAGAGGCACTCAATCATCTGCAATTTAATTAACCTAGTTCCTCTTTCCCTGAAATGGAAATGTAGCAATATAAAAGAAAAAATAAGCCACTGATTACACTTCTCCACACCTCAAAGCTGACTACAGTGGTTAATTTCCAATTAACACTACATTATCTAGTATAATATTGAGAGAAAACATTTACAGATTTTAGAGGTTATGAGAAAAATAGTGTGGAAGACTGTTATGAAAGCCATTTGGAGCCCTTGTTTAATTTCTGCTTCTGCAGCTTGTGGCCTTGCAGTATCACACTGCTAAAGAACAATAATGTTGGGGTAAAAAAAATAGTCTATTTCTCAAATATAGTTTAGAAATCAGTTATCCAATCATATTTCTAAAATGCCACCTTATTTTTAAAAAATCTCCATTTTAAAATACTGAACAGCTAATTAAAAATATCTGTTGGACTGGGGTCACAAAAATAGTCTACAATACAAATAGATACTTTGAAGAAAAGGAAGCTAAGCCATCTTTGCTTTTGTTTTGATTGATAGTGAATTTCCTCATTCACAAATCAATGGTTGCACTTCCATTAGGGCTGCTCACAGAGCAAGTGTTTCTGGTTCTCCCTAAGGAGCAAGGATCTTCCTTTAGATCCACTTCACACCCAAATCTGCAAGTCCACAGACCACACAAAAGGATGAACAGATGAGCATTCTTAGTTCACACTGAATATGATAGAAGCAACACTGGATCCCATCATGTAGTTTATAAGTGCCAAGGCAAGTCAACTGCTCTCTTCCATTTTCTTCCACTAAACAGGACAGAAAAGCTTTGTCTGTTGAGAATAATTTAAAATCTTGAAATTTTTCATTAGCAACATTATTCTGTAGACTGTTTCCTGGTCAAACCATATGTAATGGAAGTCTAGATGGTAGAGAGACAAACATAAGGCAGTAATGGCAGGAATAGCAATATCTTTTCAGCCGCTTACAGCCTAAAATGATTTGATTCTTCAAATAGCAGTGCACTGTTGGTCTGAGTCAACTCCCACTGATTTCTGGAACCAAAGAGAAAATACACAATTAGAGAAATCAGAGGGTGTAGAAAACAAGAAATTTGCTGGCATGTTGAATTAAGGCTACCATACCAATTACCATATAGGTTTAATCAATAATTCCGCTGAAGTTGTTTATTTAAGAACATTTATATGGCCGTCCACTCACTCTCAGTCATGAAAAATCTTATTCTTTCAAATAAGAATGCTATTTTGCTGCCTGCACCTCTAGTTAAAGAAATGCAAAATACTTGGTGAGATTTATAGAGACAAGAGCAACCCATGTTTAGTTAAGCAGAAACCCAAAATATATATCCCCTGTGTTTCACAAATTGGGACAATATAATGCATTTCTCTATCACGCTAAGGATGGAATTCGGCAGCTTTGCTTGAATAGCTGCAGAAAAACTCCTACCATCTTAAAAACCTCAAACGTAAAATGCTACCACTTTTCGGTTTATCTTCTAGCTCACCACCCTGCTTCAATTTTGCTAACTTGATGTGAGTTTAAAACCACATTGATACTCTTTGCTTCTATTATAATTTAAAGTGGAGTACTCATTTTGCTGAGTAGGTATATCCCAGGCTCTCTGAACCTTTGAGATCAAAGAACAGTCTAAATAATACTCACTTTTATTCATGAAAAGTAGCAGTCATTAAACCACTGATCTATGATGCTGGCATACAGTACTATTTAGACAATATTTTACTGTTCCTAGAAACAAATACATAAAGGGATTCTTTTTCTGGGCCTCCCTATGGAAAAGCAAACTTTAGGGCAGAAAAAATGAAATAACTTTATTATTTTACAAAAAAAAATCATTTTCGAAACAGAAAATATTATTACCTACAACTAGAACTCTAGGAGAACATTACGTCAAGATTTTATTTTTAAAAAGCTTTACATTTTCACTTTAAGTGAGGATTGCACCCTGAGACAGTAGCCATAGGCATAAGCTTTATTTTGTAAAAAAGAAAAAAAAAGCAGCACTAAAAATAACGCTGACGGTGTCCTCAATTTCACTGTTCACTGTTCTACAACAGAAGAAATACAACCTTGAAGATACATGAGAGTTCAAGTTTCAACTACTCACCAATCAAAAGTGAACTTGAAAGCTGAATGTATATAAATAAAACTAGCATTCTCTATCACCAGCCCCACCTTCTGGCTAACTACTTTGAAATATTAGTAATTGCTTACATCTTAAATTTGTCCCCTTGCTGTAAGGAACTGCTATTTGAGATTGGTGAGCAAGAAAAATGAATACAAATATGGACCGGGGAAAGCAAATTATGAAAAAAGGGAAATATACAGTTTAACCAAATTAACATGCCCAGAGCACAGAAAGTCCGAAGTATTAAGCAGAATAAGGAAAATCTCTTTGAGGAAAGAATTAAAATGCTTTGTGAGCTGCAGTAGTTAAAAAATGCACCAATCCAGGGGCTGACTTATATGAAAGATTTAATATTTCCTTCCTAGACTGAAAGACTACATAGTCTGTAGTCTTTAGTCTTTGTTTAAAACTACATTGGGAGCCAAATCCATTCCTAAGGTCTCATTTTGAATGAATCTCATTTGCATTGAATATCCATTAGCTAAAGGCTTTCCTGAAATTTCCTGGTGAAATTAGGACGAAAAGGCGTCTATAAATTTAATGCCTGTAAAAACAACAACTCTCGTCTTTTAAATATACTTCAGTGCTTCAAGAATCATGAGAAGCTCTACATTTTTGCAAACAAGATGTACAGGTAGTGAATTTTTAAGGTAGAGGTAAGAAAAATGAATTTTTAATATACTGTAATTGAAGAAGAGTTAACTCCAGAAAAAAAATTATTATGACAAAAATGCTTCAGGATATAAATCCATACCATTCTTTTCTTCCTGTCATTTGTTCATTTGTTTATTGCCTTTAGCAAATTTATATATATACCCACCCTTACAGAATGGATGACCCTGGGTGACATACAAAAGAATTGAAAGCAGATAATAATCTAAAAAACACTCAGATGTGGATAAAAACTTTAAAAACATTTTAAAAACCACCACAATGTTTATTCTACCAGTTGTGGTGAACAGGTAGTATGATTTTTCACAGAATGTACCTTAACTGTTACACTTTTAGTACAGTTTCCCCATAATACTTCTAGATCTAGAATCTGTCACTGGGTTGGTACTACTGCAGCCTCACATAAGCAATTGTCTAAGTAGGTTAATATGATTCTCCTACCTTTGGTTTGTGAATTACTGAGCAAGGATGGGAAATGATGGGGATAAGGTACAAACTCCATAGTTCATTATCTGACTGTTACTGCTTTGGAGTCTCTGCAAAACAGCCAAATGTCACAATCCCATGAAGGGGTAGAACAGAACAAAAAAATGGTACTGCAGAGAGCCCCAGCTATCCTTTCATAACCAGATAAAAATGGAAGTAACGAGCACCTCAGCCTCAGGATGGATCGTCGAAAACACTTTATACAGTATGATGTTTGGCTTTCCAAGTCTACTTTTTCCAAGGCAGCAAACAACCTTTTGAGCCTGGGATGCCTCTCCATATGAGAAGCATCTCATATGGAAAGATTTCATTCTCCCTAGAACTGTGCTAAATGCTCATATATTGAACCTTCAATATGAAAATTAAACTTTCAAATTGAACAAAATAAATCCTCTGCAAAGCACACATGTTCATGTAACTTGTATAACCTGTCTCCCCATTATTCTTACATACCGTATTTTCCGGCGTATAAGACAACTGGGCGTATAAGATGACCCCCGACTTTTCCTGTTAAAATACAGGGTTTGGGCTATATTCGCCGTATAAGACTACCCCTCTTCCAACGCACACCAAATAAAAATTAAAAAACATCAACTGGCTCACCCACAATGTAAAAGCAGCTGTGCTAGACCCAAAATGGCCCCTGCAACAAGCAGGAAACTCACACAGCCACAAAAAGCCCCAAAAAACAACTTTCACACTTTACACACACAAAATTCCACATACAGCTTTGTGAGATTTTTTGTGTTTGTGTAGTTAGAGTGAAACACTACAGAAACACACTAAATCTCAGAAAGCTGCACAAATATTATTTTTATTTTATTTTATTTTTATTTTTATATGAAAACTAAATTTAAAACTTCCTAAACTTTAAATGGCTAGGTCTAAAAAAGAACAACTAAAAAAAAACCCAATTAACTGTTTTTTTTAAAGCTCCCAAAGGGGAAAAAAACTTACTCAATAGAACAGGGGTCTCCAACCTTGGCAACTTTAAGACTTGTAGACTTCAACTCCCAGAATTCCTCAGCCAGCTTTGTTTTGTTGGCTGAGGAATTCTGGGAGTTGAAGTCCACAACTCCCTGCCTGCTTGATTGCAGGCAGGGAGTGGCTTGCTGATGGAATGGATTCAAGGCAAGCATTGGGACTAGCAGCTAAGGTAAGCAAGCTGGAGGGGGAAAACTTTTTTCCTTTTACATGGCTCTGGCGATCCCAGCTGCGTTGCCTGATTAGCAGGCAACTCAGCTGGGATCGTCAGAGCTTGGATCGCCAGAGCCATGTAAAAGGAAAAAACTTTTTTTCTTTTACATGGCTCTGGCGATCCCAGCTGAGTTGCCTGATTAGCAGGCAAAGCTGGGATCGTCAGAGCTTGGATCGCCAGAGCCATTTAAGGCTCGTCAGAGCCTTTTGGGCTGGTCTGCCTGGTTACAGGAGAACGACACCCGGCGTATAAGACGACCCCCGACTTTTGAGAAGATTTTCATGTGTTAAAAAGTCGTCTTATATGCTGGAAAATACCGTATTTTCCATCATTGCTTTTGAAATGATATCCTAAACATAGGTGAGAGCTATGTGCAAGACATGGCTGACCTTGCCTAAGGTAAGCCTTCTCAGAGCCTAACAGCACATATTCATTTATGCCCCTGTCACGGAACATGGCTATTTTCTGTAGTGCCCTGATTGCCACCAGAGAAATTAAGAAATACTATTTTATGTCCTTTTTTAAAAATACATTGATTTACAGAGAATAATTAAAAATCCACGTTTACTCCTTCTCCCATGTCAAATATGACTAAGTTAGAACAGATTCTAACTAACTAACAGATTCTAACAGATTAGAACAATTCCCAATCTGTTTTGCAATGAAACTAAAGCAACTCTTGGTCCAATATTATCTAGTTTTAGCTTTTCATTCAAGATACTAACTCCTCTTTTTGTCTTAACATGGCCAGTGTGGTCACCATTCCATGCTGTGATAACATTAGATAAAATAAACAATGCTGTGATAATATCATTTAAGGTGAACAAAGCAAATTCAAAATGAGAGCTCTATGTCCGCACACATTATCCTCAATCTGAACAGGTGTAATAATATAGCACAGACATGTTCCTCCAAATAAATTACCAATAGTTAGAGAAAAGCAAAACAAAGATCAGCAGTTAAAAGGGGTCATTTTTTGCTGTACCAAGACTGCAGGTACATGATAGAACATAGTTTTTATTTCTTTTTACATTTTCTATCAATTATACATGCCAGAATAATGTGTTACTTGAAGATATGCTTTCTTGGTTAGCAGGTTAAAACACAGTTAATCATTAGATCCAGAATGGAAGAAGAAGAAAAATTTGAAATGTGCCACTCACTAACTAAACAAATTTAAGGATGTTTCCACGTAGTGCAAATGTTTTTAGTGTATAGGCGCATCACTTCATTCACAGGATTTTACAGGAGATCCAGGTATTTCTGTTTTCTATTTGTAACGCACTTGGTTTTCCACTACTCTTTTTTTTCATACAGAAAATCCACCGAAGAGAAAAAGCAGACACTGTATAGTGTTTTATGACTGACGTGCAGTCCTCTTATCATCCTAAACTGAACTAGCAATAGTTGAGTTTAAGCAAGTCCTTCTTGTTTCCTCATTATCTTTGGAGAACCAAGCAGTTAACTGACAACATACAAAGTACTTTTTTGCCAATTAGTGAGGAGAACCCGTTTCACAAATAGCTACAATTTTTTTCATAATAAGTATTCTTGAAAGAGCATTCTTCCATCCCTACAAAAGCAATATGGCTTTTCTGGCTAAGGAACTTCTTTATCACTCTTTCAAAAAAAGGGAAATGTATATAAATTCACATCACTCTCAAAGATGTTATTTTTCTTGTGAGGAAAGAAAACAATATATAACCAGCCATGATTAATACCATGACTTCATGAATAATGAATCAATATCTTCGCAGAGACAGCTGGGCTACTATTGCCATAGTAGCCCAGGAAATGTGGGCTATAGATATTTTTCTTATTGACTATTATGATTGAGAAATCCAGGCATAACAAGCTTTAGTCACTGAAGTGGGAGTTTAACATCCAAATTTCATAGCCTAGCGACAGAGGCTTTGGCCAATTTATGCCTCTCTTTTCTCCATCCTTGTCTCCACATTAATCTGGCATCATTTATTTGAATATTTATTACTTGCTTTCTAGTTTTTATAGTCCTTCCAGCCAGTCCCTTCCTCTTTTTTTGCCTTTTCTCAATTGTATCTTCATGTCCATTAAAAACTGGGGTAATTCTTATTTAATTTAGGACTATACTTCTATAAAAAGGTCCATATAGAGCGGGGGGGCATTGTATCATTTCCTTTTGGGATAGCAATATTATGTAAAGTGCAAAAAGGAATAAGAAATACTAAGCCAAAGAAATTAAAGTATGAAAAATAAAAATAAAAGGCAATAAAGCTAAATCTAAAGTATACCAATATCATTCACTATACGTGTCCATCTGTGCTCACCATTCTTACCTCATTACATCCATATCAGCTTTATACACTTTTTCCTCTAAAAATGTCACCTCTTTCTGAGAATCTTATGAATGCCTTCCAATTGCAACTTTCTCAGTCTACCACTTCACTTGACCTACTCATCCTTCATACATATATATTTCAAGCTATGGATGCATGCTTGCCTCACACTGAAAAATTATCTGCATTTTGCTTGGGCCTTGTGGCTGGACAGTAGGAAAAATGAGCACAGGCTATGCTCTGCTATTTTAAAGAAAACTGAGCCCCACTCAACTTCAGAATCCACACTTGGTACATTCAAGCCATCTGAGATACTTCCTCAAGCAATTTACTTCCTATACTCCTGAGATATCCTAATTACTCATCGTGAAAACAGCAATATCACTGGAGACAATGGACATAAATTATAGGTTATATTTTATTTTACTCACAGCCTGTTCATTATCCAGATTGGCCTGTTGTCTTCGGAGATCAGGTTTGATGAAAGCTGATGTACAATTGAAAGACAATTTGAACTTAATAACTCAATAGGTAGGACACAGAATAGATGCATAGGACTCTAAGGAAGTATGTAGAACAAAATAATTCATATTGATCATCATGATGGAGAAATAAATAATGATTCTAACTTCTTTACAAAAGTTTTAACTTTGGTCCCTAAGAATATGCAGGTAACACAAAACGCTGAATCAAAATAAAAGTATAAAAAAAGCATTTAAGTCAGTTAAAAATACCCTGCTGTTGGAGACTAAAACTTAGAACACAACAAGTGTAAAAATGTTGGGTGCTAACTAGGGACACATGCAGTCACCACTTCTGATTCGGAGGAATGTCTTCTAGAAAATTACAGATCACTCCTCTAGCAAGTTGAATCAGTGTGCTTCAGAGTAGGAGCAGAATTGCTAGATTTTGCACATAGTGACTCCATTCCTGGACAGGTTTGAGAATATGGCTGCCACAACCAAAATACCTAGTTTATACTCCACAAAAAGGCACAGGAGCAAGTTCAAGCAGGAGGAGGTGAACATATAAGCTTTACACATACTACTTAAAGGATTTGTCCAGAGTAAACTAGCACTTTGAATTGTGGTTAGGAAAAAAGTGCAAACATTGCAAAAGTAAATAATATGCTCTAAACTAACTAGTTTAGAGCATATTATTACATTAACTTGAACTAAAGTAAAGGTTCCTTTCGCACATCATTCCTGACTCCATGGGGCGATGCTCATCTCCGTTTCAAAGCCGAAGAGCCAGTGCTGTCCGAAGACATCTCCGTGGTCATGTGGCCAGCATGACTAAAATGCCAAAAGTGCACGGAACGCTGTTACCTTCCCACCAAAGGTGGTCCCTATTTTTCTACTTGCATTTTTTACGTGTTTTCGAACTACTAGGTTGGCAGAAGCAGGACAAGTAATGGGAGCCCACCCTGTTATGTGGTACTAGGCATTTGAATCGCTGAACTGCTGACCTTTCGATCGACAAGCTCAGCGTCCTACTCTTATCAGCTATATTTTACACCACTTTGAGTTTCCATCTACTCTTCAAGGGCAACTTCAGATAGAGTGTATTACTGTAATTCAATGCGACAGTGACCAAAGTAGAGGACAGTTGCCAAATCTCCTACAGCAATCCCTTCTTAAACAGGAGTTCTTTTAATCCTCAAAAGCCCTTATATGACCATGAGTGGATAAAGCATTACAACATACTTCACTTAGCCTTTTGGCTAGTGATTTCTTCAGAAAGGGATTTCAATTAGAATCCTTGTGGGCAATATATTTTTAACAGGGCCATGTTTTCAATTAAGCAATGACAGAAGGGATATCAACTTTATTCCTGACCTTGTAAATCTGTCAATTTTTGGCAGAGGCCTATTTCTTCTAGAGACACTAGCAGTTCACTATTAAGGTAGTTACTGATCACATTAAGTTTATAGGCAAAAGTGACCCACACGCTCTGTAGAAATAAGTAACAAACATTTGAAGAATGTAGTTACCAGTGATAATAGCACCAATGAACAGGAAGATGCAAAGGAAGATGTTCCCAGCTTTAGTCCCAAAGTGATCAATGATCTGTCCTTGGCTAATGGTGAAAATTATTCCAAAAACCTAGCACAAGATAAAAGAGATATTAAAGAACTGAACAAAATACAGTTGTTCACCAGTTCTAAGATCTTTTGCCTATCTCTGATGTTCTCAACAGTAATAAAAAAAACCCTATCAACTCATTATCTCAGCCCACATGACTACTAGTATCTGACTATAAATGAGGTCAGAATTATTAGAAGACTTCATATTTTGACTACAGAATTGTATTTAGTAAAATGCATCATATGTATTTAACTATATTACTATAAAAGGAAAAGAAGTATAATTTTTGTCATCTTCAAACTTGTTTGGAAAGCAGTAGTAGTCAATTTTAGGGAGACTATGCTGGATAACAGAACATGATGGAATGTTTTGATTTATCAACAGGTGGTGCTATATTCCTGCAGAATAGCAAAGCCGGACCTAGAAATGTCTCTTCGCTACGTTTCTCAAACTAACCTGTGCAGAAACATTAAGAAGGCCTGACGATGTTCCTTCAGATTCTGGATACGTTAACTCTGCTGCAAATTCAAAGCCCAGAGGTAGGTAACCCGTCATGAAAAAGCTGTCAGAATAGATGTAGGAAACACTTCAGCATCAGCACTTATGAAATGTCATGCCCTTGGTGTTTTAAAGAGACGATGCTACTCCAAGTTCATTTTTCTCAGATCTCAAAAACTTAACTCCACTTGCTTCCCATCAATACTTTGTCTCACTGTGTCAGAAGAATTACACTTCCTTGAATCCTCATTTAAGAGAAACAAGAAAACCTGCAATGGCTGCCATATACATCTCATTGTTCTCCTTGGGAGAAGAAGATCATTAGTAGCTTCGCTTTCTTTCTTACACACTGCAGAGCAACTGGAGATTATCTCAGTGGCACAGAAAGTATCAAAACACTTTCACAGGGAAAAGTAACCCAAAAGGAGAAGTGAACTTACCCCAGTACACCAGCTGTTATAAAGACCACCCAGATATGACCTAGATCCAGGGTAAAAGTATAAACAACCAGACCCACAAATGACATGATGTAAACAACCAGTGTTGTCTGTCTGTAACAAAGAAAAGCACTTTTAGAATTTATTCAAATTTATCGCCCCCAACCCCAGAACAATGTAATCATTGTTCTAACTTTACAATAAACACAAGTACACACACACACACATACATATTTTATAGATTTATATGCCACCCCAGTCATTAACTCTGGATCTCTTTTTTATCTATTTTCTATTATCATTTAATGAAAGTCTAACCTGACTAAAATTAAATAGCGAAATCAAATTAGACTTGACAGAGCCAGATAATTTCTTCATTCTTTATAAATATAGTATTGTATCAGAATTGAACTTCCATCATGTTCCTTGTTCTACCTGGCCTTATTTTTGTAGCCTTTGCATTAAATTCTAAATAAATAGGAAGCTGACATGCTATAAAGCAAAATACCAGCTACTAGCACTCTTTTTATTTACAAGAATCCTGTGGACATAATTTCTACAGGCATTTTTCTCAATTAAGTTTGAATGATGATGGTTTAAAAAATGTAAGATATTGGACAATTTTGTTTCTTTGTATCTAGAGCAAATGACAAGGTACTATGTAGAAGAAAGGAAAGTAAGATGGAATTGTTACTTGTTTAAATATTTTATATATATCGTTATTATACAGTATATACATTATACAATTACTTGTTTAAAGATGATGTAAAAACAACTGCTTTAAACTTTGTAGAGAAAATAACATTTTTAATTCGAAAGTTAATTATATCCTTCATTGGTAAGGATTTTGAATGAAAAAAATTGTGTCTTAAGCCAAGATTTTAGGTACCCATTTTACTTAATTCCTTCTCAAAGAAAAAAGCGATTGAACATTTGGGCTTCACACATTCTGGTGTTATCACTATATCAATAGCCCCATCTCCTGCAACCCCCAAACTGAGTGCCCAAAAATTAAAGTGTAGCCCCAGATCAGAAAATGTTGTTGATTCCTTCCTATATCCCTGATCTATTCACTGAAAAAACCTACCTCTTCTCCAAAGAAGCAGAGAGAGGAAAGAAGTACAATAAAGCACTTACTTATATGTTTTGGTCCTGTCCAACCAGATGCCAGAAATCAAAGCTCCAAACATGCCAGCCACTATAATGGTAAGACCAATTCGACCAGCATTTAGATTTTCTCCCTGGAACAAAACATGAATGCATACATCATCAGGGTTTTTTTTTTACTTCATGAAAAACAGAAGTTGAAAGAGTCAGGATAAATTTGCCACAGTGCTACAATATAGTAGAGCTTTTCCCAGCTTGAACACTCTTCAGTTATGTTAACTTCAACTCTCAAAGTTCTCAGTAAAGTTCCGCCCGGCTAGAAAATTCTAAAGGGCCCAAGTCTATACATCAGGTAGAGCAAGTTCTTTGGGACCTGAGCCACATCCCAAACATGACATTAACATACTCTTGGTCTAGTTATGGTGTTCAAACCTCATGTGTTTTATAGGATTGTTAAGCAGATGAAATAAGGGGGCAAAATAGCACAGCTATGTGGCAGTTTCATACATTTTGATTTAACAGACTTCAGCTGAGCTGGTTATCTATCTATATGCACTATACATTCCTGGATATGTGTAAAATCCCATCTGCCATTCTATGCATGTCTAAAATGATAAAATGTACAAAATCAGTATATTCCTATTTTACACATGCATAAACTATGCAAAATATGCATTTCTAAAATCTATTACTGGCTTAACAGACATTCCACTTAAATTAACACTACTTTACCCCATTAGTCCATTAAATTTCTTTTATACAAGTGAGTTTTCTTTGCCCTCCCCTTGTGACTTCACCTTGTAAAATTTAGCTCTTGCTTTTTTTCAAGGACAAAATATCTAACAGCAGAATCTGAAATCAAAAAGGGAGAAGCTGGCCAGCCAAAAGATAACAATAGAAATGAGAAGGTTTAAATATTGCCTGCTGTTGCTCTTTCTCTTGCTGGGCTTTAAAGACAGTATCTGCAGTTTTCACTTAAGATTTAAAGAGAATCTTGTTCTAATCTAATCAGAATCCAAATTGGCTTTACAATCACTTCTCTTCCATTTCAGATGGCATAGTTGAGACAGAGATTCATGGAAACTTCTGTCATGTTAGTTAAGTATCAGATTGATGCAGGGGAAGGAAGGAAGGAAGGAAGGAAGGAAGGAAGGAAGGAATACACCTCCACACAAAGTGCTACTATTTTCAGAGTCAAATCAGGATGATGATACCTCAACAGAGAATTACTTACTGGATAATGCAGCATTACCATGCGATTTAGCAAAGTTGAGAGGGCATAGAAGCAACCTGTGTTTAAGCCTGAAAGATACAGAAATATTGAATTTACATCATGCTCTGAATTTTGCTATATTTTGCAGCCTAAGGAATGAACTCTTAAACACAGAATTTACATATTCAAATGAAAAAAATATGATTTGCCCCAAACAATCTTGTGAATTTGTTCTAGTGTTGCGATTTTGGCATTTACTGGAAGCTTGATGCATACAAGTATCATCGCTTCCATAACATTGGTGCTCATCTTCAGGAACATGTGCACATACAAACTGTCCAGTAATTGTGGACTTGTGTTTATGAAAAACAAAAAGCAATAATAATATTCAAGCACATGAATAGAATGGCGATTAGAAAACATCAATTTGGGATATGCACGAATCATTATCTAATTAAACAGAAACAAGAATCCCAGAGTGGGAGAAAAATAAAAACCAAATAAGATCATGAATCAAAGATTTGCAAAATGAACTTCAATGCTATTTCACACTATGTCTTACATGAAATGGCATGAATAACTACATACAGATTTATGCTCCACGTACACTGAACACCTCAAGTTCAGTTGCATTTTTATTGCAGCAAAAACATTTCATGTTCATACATTTTACTGATAAGACTAAGTTGAACTTTCAAACACACAGATGAATCCGAAGAACTCACCTCACCCAAATCATGTTCTCATCCTACGCTAAATAAATAAATAACCTCACCCAAGTTAGCACAACAGGGTCAAAAAGCAGATGCTAGTCACTGACCTCATCTGTTATCTGATTCCATATGCCTTAGCTAAGCACAGTTGTAAACTAATGTTGGACTAAAGCTTCTTTAGGCCCAAATTTGTTCTGCAAATATCTATTGTCCACCAGTAGACCCATTTTGTATGTGTGAAAAAAGGAGTGTCATGATGGTTGAGCATATCAGCACTGGAAAATATCATATTGTTATGCTCATATTTCTGGCGGATATTATGTGACTTCGTGCAATGCAACTCAATTTTTAAAGCTGTTTTTTGCTTCTATTTGTTACTATTATTTTTTAAAGAAAATGGTATTAGGAAAATTAAGGTAAGGGCAATACAGCAACCAAGGGAAAGAAGAAAAGAGATTTGGACTATTGATGTACACCTAAGAATACATTAAGTATGCAAAGTGTTATGCTGAGAGACTATGATCCAATGCATCATTTCCTGAGAGTAAGACCTTTTGAATTCAATATTTGTCTCTGAAAAATGTAGGCAAACCTTTCAGAAGGGCAACAGGAACACTTTACTTTGTACCCACATTCAAATGGCATCCTTTTCAAAATAAGATTCAATATTCAAAATGAAAAGAAGAGTTGATACTTTTCATACAAGGGAAGAAAACTGACCCAAGTATAAATAATTTCAAATGTAATGTCAATATTGTAGATCTCTTCTTTTCCTGAATTCCCATTTACTGAGTCATTGATTTCAAGGAAACAATAACAATGGAAGAAAAAGAAAGGTAGAGTGAATTCAGCTAAATTCACTCATAATGTTATCCATAACCTTGCTTCTGTTTTTGGCTTAGCAAATTGTGCAAGAAAACTGTGAGCATGTTATATGAATTCAGAAACAATTGCAATTCACGCAGCAAACATTTGCAACGCAACTTCGTATGCTGTGTGAAGGAGATCAAAGGATACAATAGAAAAGTGAATTGTTGCCCTAGGGCCCTTTGGAATTCTGAAAGGCCCTGGTATTTGAAGTTTCAATAAAAGAATATATGTATAGCCCAGGGTGGAATTGTGGAGTCCTTGGAACTCTCTGAGCTTGGTTGTTTGCTTACAGGCATTTTATTATCCAACTAGGTAACATCAGTGCAGAAAATAAAGTTGTCAGTAAGTGTGGAAAATGTGGGACTTTCAACTCTTGGTAGAATTAGATTCCCAGTAGATGTCAAGATAACTGAAATCTTCTATTTATCACCCCTGCATGCCTGTCTGAAAGACAGATCCTGATACAGAAAAACCTCCTCCGAGTCTTCTCCCTGTCCTTTAAATCTATAATAAACTAGCTGGATACCTGTGCTCCCCTACGAAACTATGTGATCGGGCCTGATAAATCAACACTTATAGCTTGAAAATTAATGAGTAGTTATGATCGACCTCTCCTCTCTCCTTCTCTCCCTCAGGCTTGCCCCACAGAAGCCTCTCCTATCTTATCCCCTTCTCTCCCTTTCAGGTGGGGAGTAGAATATCTAAACTCCCAGCCCACAGGCCAGATGAGTCTTTATAAGATATAGCCTATTTCTTTTTAGAAGTCCTTCATAAAGATAGTTAATCCATTGTCATAGAATCTAAATCATTTTCAACAATGCTATCTATAGAATCAACTGCTAACTCCTGGAATCCTACTTTATTTTCCATCTTGGGCTTCAATTAGAATTGATAAGTTACTTTATTTTCATTATGTTTTCATTAAGCAAGGCCTCATCATCTCTGAAAATCTTTTCAAGGTCTCGTCTGACTGTGCCATCTGTCTTACATGACTCAAGAAAGAAAGGATATGTCAGGTGGAATATTTTTGGTAATTTCTCTGTCACATCCAGGATCCAGAAACCTGAACAACAACATTGATACACTCACAATTTTATATCAATCAGCACATAGCTCTTGAGTTCCTCTCAGCACAGAGCTACTTACCAAGCAGCTCATGGTTTCTTCAGTCTATTATGGTCCAAATGTTATTCCACTATGTTCCATATCAAGTTTTGTTCAGGTGATTATGGACAGACTCTAAAGCAGGCCTGTCAAACTGGCAGCCCATGGGCCAGATATGTCATGTGCCGGTCACGGCCAGCCTGGCTCCGCAAAGGTAAAAAATGGTGCGATATGTTTTGATCCGGCCCTTGACGCGATTGAGTTTGACACCCATGCTCTAAAGGTACCAGTGAGGGGTCCTTGTTCTTTCTGAGCTTGGTTGCTTTGTTGCAGATGTTTCATTACCCACACTAGGTAACATCATCATCAGTGTAGTGGAGTTTGCTCTCAATTTATTTCTAGTAGCTTGCCCTGTCAGTGTCGGTAAGGGTGGTTTTAGAGGTTATTTGGTTGGGCTGTTGGTTTGTTTGGTAGTTCCTTGATTGGGGCATTGTTTACTTGATTGATGGTCGGATGTTAATCTTGGAGTTAATCTTGGAGTTAATTAAAGCTCATCTAGATGTTGATTGCTGGTGGGAGCTGTTTTTATCTTTTTCTGCTTTTGGCTTGTTGATTATCTCTTTGCACAGTATATAGATATTGTTTCTGTCTATGGGTCTATTGATGGCTAATTTATCAAGAGTGCCAAACTTCTAGAAATTCCCTAGCATTTTAGAACTTGGCTTGATCTAGCATGGCACAGTTTCCCAACTGAAACTATGGTTAAGTATGTCCATATTTTGTGAAATTAAAGAGTTTTCATCATGTCTTCTGACTGCTAGTTGGTGTTCATGGATGCATTCTGCCAGTCTTCTGCCTGCTTCTCCTACCTAATGACTGTTGCAGTCATACTGTATGTTGTAGTAGATGATTCCTGTTTTTTCCTGAAGGCAGCTGGGTCTTTTGGATTACTTAGGATGTTTTGAAGGGTTTTAGTTGGCTTATGTGTTGCTGATTCCATGTAGTTGTAGTAGTCTGTACATGATTTCTGAGATGTTCTTGATGTATGGCAGTGTTATTCTTTTTAGGGCTTGTGCTGTGTTAGGTTGAAAACTCTTTGATAAAGTTGCGCAGATATCCATTTTGTTGGAATATGTTGTACAGATGCTTCTTTCCTTTTTCTGCTGCTCAGGATTGCTGCAGTGAGTTTGTGCTCATCTAAATAAAGTTCTTAGGCTGCTTCTCTTGTGGGAGGTTTAGTTTCTACTTTGGTAGAGGAGCACTTAGTTGGTGTGGGTGGTTTTTCTGTACACTATGTTTCTAGTTTGTATTGTGGTTTCTGCTGGTCAGGATGTCCAAGAAAGGTAGTGAGTTGTTTTCTTCTTCTCTGGCAAACTAGATTCTTTTGAAAATGTTATTGTTTTGTGGGTGTTCTCTAATTGGTCCTTTTTTTTATGTTAAGGTGTCAACTATGTATCTGATCCATATTTTGGGTTGTATTTGTAGAAGTACCATGGCTTCTAGATATTGCATAATAACCTCCACTATAAATCCTGAAAGCAGCAGTCCCATAGGGGTACCTTTAATTTGTTGATAAGTTTGTTCATCAAATTGGAAGTATGTGGTTAGGTAGAAATTTATGAGACCCATAATCCTGGGTGTTTCAATACCCACCAACACTTACAGGGCAAGCCACTAGAATATAAACTGAAAGCAAACCCCATTCCTTACTCATAATGGTATTTAGTTTGGGCAATGAAACGTCTGCAAGAAAACAACCAAGCTCAGAGAATCAAGGAGCCCCCATTTCAACTCTGAGCTAAAAGTATTCTCTCCTGGGGAGGGCGAAAAATGGGCCTCCCGGAAGTTTCGGAAGTCTAGAAACGGGCCTATTTCCAGCCTCCAGAGGGCCTTTGGACCCTGGGGGAAACAGTATTCACCTTCCTGGAAGCTTGAGGAAAGCCTCCAGAGCCTGGGGAGAGTGAAAAACACCCCCTCCACTGTGGTGCAGGCAGCCAACTAGGCCATGCCCATGCCCACCCAGCAACGGGACAGCGAACCCGTTGCTAAAGGATCTGAAGCCCACCCTTGGATGTTCTCTTTATTTATCTACTCTCCTGGGATTTCAGGTGCCCTGCCAAAAATCATATTTTTCCTTAAGCACTGCAATATAGAAATTCTTTATTCAGCTCCCACTTTCTTATCCAATAAGAAGTGTATGTAATTTGGGTCATCTTCAGGCAGGAAACAACCACTGCATACCACAACCATTTTGCTACCCACAAAGTTTCTGTCACTGCCTGTGTTATTTAACCCTTCCTCCAACCAAATTCCCCAGCCAAACTCCAATACAAATTTCTAATAACTTCCTAGCTCTAAACTCCCAGAAACTGCCTCTGGGAGAGGACTGGCTGAGACTGGAA